ATTGGATATCGGAGAAGAGAAAATGTGACACTGACTTATAAAGATGTGAGCAGTTGGAAAAAGCTACCAAGCTAGCGAATCTTGCGGTAAGAATTGTAAAGTAACAAAAAGGTTCATCTTGAACGGTGCAGGGGGCTGAATATGATAGCGTCCAAGGAAATAGGACCTCCGAAGCTCGAAGAAACCACGGTGGCCCTTTAAATTCTTGCAAGATGATAGTGCCACCACGCAATAATCGATCGGAATTAGTCAGCAGACATGTACATGAGAAGTTTCGTTACAACTGTGGAATACATGTCACCACGTCGTACTCTACTACTGTTACAGTGATTCGATGTGATAGAGGAAAAGCCCCATAAAAGAGACCTTCCAATCAATAATTATTCCCATGAAAACACCGCATTGAATTTTTCTTTCACCCGCGGCTCAGCCACTCTCAAAACGTCCTTTGTTCACACAGTCACTAGATTTCGGTCACACCAAACCAGAAATCCACTAACTGCATAAACTAGATTCAAGTTCTTACTTGATCGATAACTTTGGGAGCTTGCAAAGCTAACAACTTTTTTTCAATTTTTAAGGAATTCTAGGTGTAGACTGAGGGAAAACTGCAAGACTCGGAGGGGAGGTCTACGAAAATGATTCTACAAAACAAAGATGCGTGGAAAAACGGCAGTTGAAGACATTTCGTGTCCTCATAGATTGCTGAATACCGCTCTTAGGCCTCTTGGAATTTCAACAGCTCCTGAATTTTGAGGTCAACTCCAAACAAGGAAATCCCATCTTGGGAAATGAGCCAAAGGTCAGCAAATGTGACTGACTACTGGCAGTAGTTTCATTTCGCCTCTAACACTCTCGTTCCCACCTGTCCATCAGTTCTAATCCACTGTTTCGTGACATCTGCGAGGCATATTGTGAATTGCTTTTTTGTAAATACTGACGTCAACATAAGACTACTTTTTACTGAAGTGACGATGGCGAGGATGGCGAAATGACTACAAATGAGTGACCGAGGCATTGGATTGGGCGACAGAATCTGTAAAGCAAGCGTGGCTCGCCTGTTCCCATAATTATGACGGATCAGTGTCAGCAGGGGCTCGAAACAAGGTTCTTGCAATCTTCAAAAAAGATTTCAATGGAACACAACCCGTTGAATAACCTCCTAACACAGTTTACAACAAGGTGGTTCCGAAGAAACCCTTTGGTTCGCCATCATCATTGATTTTTTCAAACGACGCATCTTCACCATGAGAAGCATTTCCAAAGGTTCACATCGCTTTGTGACTGACTGCACCCATGATTTAACCAAGGATTTCTGGCTCAACGTATGAAAAAGTGTTGGCAATAGGCCTCCATTTGGTGCAGCTTGATATCCTCTGCGGAAGAGGACGCGAAATATGACTCTCGCGATCAATAAGCGGCTCCCCAAAATGAAAGATTGTTCTCGAAAAAAGTTTGGTGACAATCGGTAGATTTATTGCCGAGCAACGTTTCGTCTTTGACACAAAAGCTTTGTCAGGCCGAGTGACTAGGTTCCGAGGTTGGTCAAGATTTAAGGCGGAAAGAGAAACCAATCAGCAAGTCAAGCTAAATCTCTGTTGGTTGTCAGCCGAGGGATTTTTTCACCTGACTGAAAGATTGTTCTGTTTTCAAAGAGAACCTGGTTTAACTCAAGACCATTACGAATCTTCCTTCGCAGATGGCAGTGAAGCAGGCTGATGCGTCGCGCAGTAATGAATCACCAACGCGTAATCTGTACCCGTCAACTGAGTCGCAGTCACGATGATCATATGACTGTCCAGTCAGCATTTGCTACTGAACGAAAAACTGGAATTTTCTGAAACAGGCCACGAATATTGTAATCTCGCACTGATGGGTCAAGCCGGTATGAACTGGATCCGATGCTACAAATCAGAGATCAGCTCACTTCATAAGACGTTTGAATGCCTACTGATCTGGTCAAAATGGCTGCCGTGCTACCGTCAGTTGCTACAAGGTTAACCAGTGTGGCTACGCGCGTCATAAAATTTTAGGAAGTAGGAATGAGGTAGGAATGAGACATGTTTTCACGTATTTCACACTTTTGGGACTGACAATGTCTTAGGTTCTTGGGACCTTTGTATTAGATCTCCGAATAATCGTGGAAGCATGTCAACTAGACAAGACTTTTGGTCGAATCATCCAATCTATTCCGGTGTTCCACATGAAGCCAAAACGGGAACGTGATTTATTAAATAAGGCGAGCGTAATGCAACTAGTTTTCTCTGTGAGAAGCGCCACAAGGGGTCAAATTAACAGCGATGGTTGCTCTTTGTGGAAGTTTGTTGATCCACAGACGTTCACGAAAAAAGTGGTAGTCTCTTGGAGGGGATCTGTACCTCTTGAAAAGGTTATGATCAGGGAGACTTGAAAAGCCATCCAGAAAGATCTTCACCATAATATTCAAAGAATGATACTGCTTTAGAAGCTAAGCAACGAAAAACCCATTTGAACTTTTGAGTCCCAACCAAACCAAGGGAATCAAACATCGCTTCAGAAGGGTCGGGTAAACACTCGTTGGTTTTCCAAACTTTTTCCAATGGATTGGAATCGAACATCGTTTGTGGGGTGCGGCCCCGACTGCGGACCTGATTGAACGGAGATGTATGCATCCTAACTAAAAGTTTCCACTAATTCCACATTTCTTGATGAGCGAATACTGGCCTAGTTTTCTTGTGCGGACAAATTTTATTCAGTTCGGGCAGCCGTAAACTTTGAGATCAGGTAGAACGTAAGTTCGATGGGGACTTAAAAGCCAAATCTGTCGGCTGAACCTCAAGAAGGATGCAACCGGTCGTGAGATGTTGAAAAAGTTTTAGCTGCCTAATTAGTAATATGCCAGGCCATGAGGTTTATACTTTTTCAAGAATGGGTAGCATTAGAGGGTCGAATACAGGTCCTCATTAGGTTAAACGACATTACTATTTCGGTTGAACATTCGAAGCTGAATCAGTCAGATTTTCATAGACAATCGCTGGCAGAAAATCCCATAGGTGCTTATTAGTTTAAGCAGTGCATTTTCTAGACGTCTCGGTTAGAAACGGAACAAAAGCAGAAACCTAATGGCGCGCCCGATTTCTCACACGTTCTCTGCGCATACCATAAGGCATGGAGTCGAGTTGTGTGGCTGCGAATGTGGTAACAAGGGACGGTTGTTGCGCCATTGTTTCGAATGAATTGTAATGTGCCAAAAACCGCACTTAATTTCAAGTCATTAGCGACGGACACAATACTACTGAAAAAAACCCGATAGTTTTGTGGGAGAGAGGATCACTTTGTTGTTACCTTGGGAAAGAATTCACCCGTTCTTCTGACGCCACCGATTTTGGGCCCGATGTACGAGTTGGGTGAACATCATCTGAGTCAATGACTCGCTCGCTCCCTCAGAAGACAGTATTGAAGTTCGACCTGTGCTAACGGCTACCATTTAGTAATTGCTTGGGTCTGGAACCTGACACTTATGTTACAAATTCGATTTCGTGTAAGTTTAACCTTGAAACGTTTTTGCCTTCCAGCAGATCAAACTTCCTGATATGAAGTCCGTAAACACGCCACCGCCCCTCCAAGAAGAGGCATTCGAAGTTGTCAAACGCTTTACATAATCTTGAAGTCGTATTAGTTCCGACAGTAGTATGACAGGCGAGATCACTGCATGAATCTCCAAGGCTGGAGTCTTTTTGCTGATTTGAGATACCACTGGTGGTAGAGCGGCGCTCATCCCTAAATCGTACGGGACCGGGGTATCAGGCTACAGTGCAGGCTGCTTTGTATTACTGCTGAGACATAGTCTTCGTAAACAGCGGGACTGAAGTTTCTTCAGGTAATAAACAGCCGTCAGCTCACAAACGTGTTGGACGGTGTCGGTGAATCCGCGGAGGCGAATGGTCATTCGTACAATAGGGGGTTCTATCGAAAAATGCGTCCCGCACCAGAAGTCACGTTGCCTGGGCCATGTATTGCGTATGCCAAATCATCGTTTGCCGGAAGGAAATTATGAGTGGCACAAGATGAGAGGTGGTCAACCTTTGGTCTAACATGGAAGTAGGAAGCAGACTACGAAACGTCTCAGCGCTGTTGGTGTGAGTCGCCTTCCACTATGCGGCCAGTGTGCCTGGTTGGAAGCAATGCTGTCAGTCGATGTCGATTGGGTTTTTGTTGTCACTTCCTATCCAGATAACCTAAATGGGTATCTGTGAGACCCCGGGATGAATGTATTGCGCTAGTTCCTTTCCCACGCAGTTTTATTCCTCACCTACAATAAGGCTTACACATATAATATGGTCGTACGACAGTGATACCCTTCTCGAGGTATTGTACATATCCGACCAGAATGCCAACTTCATTTGCCCATCTTGTTTTCCAACAGTACCTTGAAGACGAATGCGATATCTTGAATATCCTTCCAGCGAAAACACGAACTGTGGCCTGTTTGAACTACAGTTACTTGAAGAATATCCTACGCCAGTAATATACTTGGGATTCAGATGAAATTCCTGCTAAAAGGAATTCAGTTTGCAGATGAATACTACTCTTGGTGAATTACGTTTCGAATAGAACACAAGTTTGAAGGAAAGGACGTTGGAGAATGCGCCTGCCCAATGATTCCCAAAAGGACCGTGGGCTGCTGAATAGTTCTCAGTGACATTGTGACTAGTGTTCTGTAAAGAAAATGGGCACTTTCTCGCTAATCTGTATACCTTTAATTATGCGAATTCCACGAACCAATTACAGGAGACCGAAGCTTCCGAAATTGTGTAACTTTTGTTGGTACTTTGCACCTCACCTGTCAGTAAGCCAACAGTGTGTAGGTGCTGAGTTTTTACTCTTATTACGAAAGTTTCTGCGCAAAGTGAGGTTAGGCACTAGGTGTACCTTGATTTGCCCGATTCTCTAACATCATCCCTGTACGCAACCAAACTTATCATCGATGTCCTTACTGGCCTAATAACTTTTGCGCTCATCTATCTCTTCTCTAAGTGGTATTCATCTAACTGGCGTTTCAATCGCCCTTGTCCGCCCTTGAGGTTCGCACCTGGTAAGCCAGCATCGCTTTTTCCCTGGAGATAATCTTCCAGAGTGGGTGGATCTCCATTCACCTGCCATGCAATCAAGGTGAATGTAACTGAAACCCTACCGGTGCATTTTCATAAAAGAAACTACTCACAAGGTTGCTGAAAACTCTTCGACAGCCCACGACCGATTTCGCCCTTCTTGGGGCTCATCAGCTAGGCGTAGTCCTCGAGTTCCCGTCAACCTGATGTTCTACTTGAACCCGCATTGGACTGCTTTCGAGAAGTGAACTCATTTGCAAATCAATTTGATTTTCACGACAGACTCAACTGAATCTCTCGTTTATAATATTATACAACTGAATGTGCTGCACACAGGCTGCCTCATGTTTCAGGTAGCACGATATTCGAGATATTGCAGGCGCGGAGAACGTATTTCGTCTAGGAACGTGTGAACTTAATGGCAGCTGGGATGCGTTTACTGGTTATCGATTAGGTAGTTATTGATCTGTTTGCCAAAGTTGGCACTTCGCTTACAAACATGCTATTACCAATCAAGGAGATTTCTTCATTTCTAGATGATAAGGCATTTATAGTCTAAGCGTAGAGCTACACAGACCGCTCCTTGAATCTGTGTCTTCTAAGGGGCCACACCTTGTTAGGATGACCTTTTTGAATGTGCAGAGTGAGCGTTCAGGTAAACGTTGAAACTGATACTCGATAAAGTAAAGAACCGGTAGAAATTGATATTCGACCTATACAAGATGTAACTAATCGATCACGGACAAACGAAGATAGTTTGTCCGTGCCTTGAGCAAAGCCCATTAATCTGGGACAGGTTTAGATTATTCAGGCTAACAGAAAAAAAGAAATTTTCACACACACTTCTTAATGAGCTTCAATCAGCAGTAAACCGGAGAACAGTTGGCGAAATACACTCATTTGCTAACTAATTTGTTTTTTCGAGAGACTCACCTGGAACCCAGCTGAATCTCTCGTTTGTGATGTTTCCAGATAACTGATGTGCTGCACCAGGCTGCCTCATGTTTTAGTCGCTACGATATTCGAGATATCGCGATACATGTATATTCGTAATGCCCATTCAGTTGCTTAGAAACATCACAAACGAGGGATTCAGCTGGGTTCCAGGTAAGTCTCTCGAAAAACCCAAAGCAGTTTGCAAATGAGTGTATTCTCTAATTTCGTGCAGTTTGGTTTCAAGTAGAACACAGGGTTGATGGAAACTCAGGGACTGCGCCCACCTGATGAACCCCAACAAGGGCGAAACGGGTCATGAGCAACCTTGTGAGTAGTACATTACAAATTCCCTTACTCTATAAGTCAGTCGACACGTGACAACGTAATTTGGTTGCCGTGGTTGAAGAATGAGCGACACTATGTCGTGTCTAATTGAGAACAGATCATTGCTGTTCAGGCGCATGTGGCCGAACGGTTAAGGAGTCAACCAGTAACCGGAAAGTCGGGGGTTGAAAACTTTCTGAGTTTAGTGAGATGCTCAGTTCTGACGACTCCCAACAAGGATGGAACAGCTCAATAATGTTTCTCGGATTTTTAGCGAAGGTTGGCCCCGCTGAAGATGATACCATCTACAGGCTAGGGCTCAAGTGAGGGCAAATAAAACCTTACCTTTTCAGCACTACACTTGATTGTTCACCATCGACCTGAACATCCGAACGTCGCCCACCAACGAACCATTCTGGTCTTGGCCGCACTACTGCACCTCAGTGTCAGTAGTGCTTACTACTGATTATTTACTCGTAGTATAATGGCATAACGTTCAGCCACCACTAACAGGTGCGTTCTGGACTGAAACCTCCCTAGCGATTCATGTAATGCGCATTGGTGATGATTCGTAACAAGGATGAAACAAAAGTATAATGCCTGTTGGCTTGGAGAACTACGCTCATTTGCAAATCAATTCGGTTTTCACGAGAGACTCAACTGAATCTCTAGTTTATGCTACTCTTCAATTGAATGTGACCCACACAGGCCGTCTCATGTTTCAGTTGGCACGATATTCGAGATATCGCAGTATATTTTCATAAGAGAAACTACTCACAATGTTGCTGAAAGCTCTTCGTGGGCCTCGTGAGTACCATGGACAGCTCCCGAATATTTCCAACCAGTTCACCGCTTGAGATAAACCAGGTCACTGCCTATATATGGAAGCAAATTTAGGATACTTACCTTTATTCCTGCCAAAAGTACAGGGCAGTGACTGAATGTGACCCACACAGGCCGTCTCATGTTTCAGTTGGCACGATATTCGAGATATCGCAGTTATATTTTCAAAGAGAAACTACTCACAATGTTGCTGAAAGCTCTTCGTGGGCCTCGTGAGTACCATGGACAGCTCCCGAATATTTCCAACCAGTTCACCGCTTGAGATAAACCAGGTCACTGCCTATATATGGAAGCAAATTTAGGATACTTACCTTTATTCCTGCCAAAAGTACAGGGCAGTGACTGTATACCGGAACACCGCTTGAAAGCACTGAAACCCTATTCCTGACCAATGTGTATGGGAACTATGTAACAGAGTTTAGAACATCTCTTTCTTGACCGTTTTTATGGCTGTACGTGAATTTTGGAGGTATGGAGAGGCAGTAAACCAATGTGTTTTTGATACTCCAGGGGAAATGTTTACTTTTTCAAGACGGCATTCTTGTCTAGACCAAAAAGGCCACTGTTCTTCCTCCCTGAAGGATCCTTTTGGAGCAGTGCCCTACAGGAACCATTCTCTTCCTGGAACATACTAGAGTTTTCCGCAGTAGCGTTTGTTGCCATCGGTGCTCTAAATTGTGATTCACATCTAAAGACGGCTATCAGTGCACAAGTCAGCAATTTTTCAGGCGCTCCGTCCCACTTTGCGAAACCTTAATAATCTGGCAGAGAAAACCGATGCTGTTGAAGCTCCTCAAGTGTTATCTTCAAACAGTGAACAAATGAAATGAGTTAAGCTCTGTGCAAACCCGACAACCCATTTGTACTTGGCAGTACTTAGTCAATCTGATTTTATCGAACAAACTAACTTAGTTTAAGCTCACAGACAAGACTGCCAACTATTCGTGTGGGTATTTGTTCCACGTATTTTTCTTAGTTTCGTTTCCAAATTCCTGAAACTAAGTGACCACAGTGTTTCGTGCCGCACCCTGAGGCGCGTGGAGAGCCGAGTTACGTGTTTTCGCGCCGCACAGTCGTTTAAAATCCTTGTTTACTTCGAACCCATTCATTTGGGTGCCAATTTGGTTCTCAGTGGAGATCCGACCGGCTGAATATCTTGTTTATTGTCTTCTCCTTCGGAATCTTCATACAAGCCTACTTGAGTTTGTGGCAACTGCGGACTGAGCGGTCCTCATGCCAGCCAACTCCGGCCGAAAAAAAACAAACGTCATTTGGGGGTGGGATTCTCCTTCCTGGAGGTGACCACTCTTCGCAGACATTCCAAACGAACTGGCACCTAGCGCTAAACATACCTACGGACTTTCAAGACGCAAGACTCCTTTGTTCGGGAGTGGGCTCTCTAGCACTGGTCACGCTGTTTTATTTGGAAATCTGCTTGGCGTTTAGAGATGAAGGGCGCAATCTTCAGGTCAATTCCTAAGCTACAGTAGATTTGCACTTATAAGCCAACCGCTACATTCAAGTCCGCGTGCACATCATGGTTCGCAATAGACCTGAGACTTTTAAGGAACTGTGACACAATGATTCGCATCCTCTCAAAAGTGCCGTAAGTAGTATGAATGTAACCGAATTTCATGCGGTAATTTAACTCCGGACATGTTCGGTTTTGGACGAAAGTTGAATCTAGATCTGTGAAAATCAATCCGCAGTCTGACCTAGACTGCGGAAAACGGACGAATAATTTAGGGGAGAATAAATTTTGCACTGCAAGCCTGATTTTGCCAGCTGGGTTCGCCGGATTTACGGGAGAGAAGGTAGAGACAACAGAGTTATACATAGGTATCGCTTTGTTCTTCATTGTGTACCTCACCAGTGGACATACATCAAGGAGGGGAATGAAGTAACGCATTACAAATAAGATTACTGAAAGCACTTGGACATCACAAACAAGAGATTCAACTTAGTCTCCCCCGTCAAAACCAAAGTCGTATGATGAAACAATTTTAGGATTGTAACTAAAATGGTGCGTATAGGAAGATTCTAGACGACTGCGAGACCCGTTTAGACATTTTCAGACAACCGAACCAGTTCCACAGTCGCCCTAAATACTTAACACATCTTTCTGGCAACGCGGAGTGGCACTCAAGCCCTGAATCACAGATTGGCGTACACCCAGCTGATCTCTGCCATGCTTATCCACGTCCTCAAACGTTCAACCGAAATCTTGCACTAGGTGAGCCACCGCGTTATTCGTATTTATCTGAATTTGTCGTTTATATCATACTTAACTGTTACCAAGCGCTCAAAATAACAGATACATTCATAAGGTGTAGCCTGTCAGTGTGGCGGATGATTCATTGATATCTGACCCCGTTTGCCAAACTTAATTGTTCGGCTGGATGGTTGATCAAGCAAACTTCCGCAGTGCTTTTGAGTGAATCAGAATACTAGCAAGAATGCCACCAAGTGTTGCATTAGATATGCTTATCATTCTGCTCGGTTTCGATGTCCGAACATCACCGCCATTTGAAATCCCTAGCTTAGTCGACTGACCCATTAGCGAGAGATTCAGCTGGGTTCCAGGTGAGTCTCTCGAAAAACCAAACAAGTTTGCAAATGAGTGTATACTCGCTAATTTCGTGCAGTTCGGTAGAACACAAGGTTGGCGTAAGCTCGGGAACTGTGCCTACCTGATGAGTCCCAAGAAGGGCGAAACCGGTCGTGGGTTGTCGATGAGTTTTCAGCAACCTTATGAGTAGTGCGTTACAAAAATATGACTGACCTCTTTCGGGAGGAATTCAAATGTTCCAAAAACTAATTTTCCAGAGCATAAGGTTTGAAAAGGTAGGCCAACTATTTGTCCACTCAGCCTAATGAATTCGACTAATCGGTCTTTTGTTTACAGGAGAATCGGAAATTTGTACTGAGACTCAAATGATGAGGGGGCGGATACGCTCTTCGGATTTGCACACCGCTTCAGGTTCATACAGTGACGAGCAGTAGGCAACTCTGCGAAAAGTAGATCGTGAAACACTATGAGCATAGTCTAGCCCCTTCAAACCAGTTGAAATAAGAGCGCAGGCGAAACGAGAAGGCACCTTCAAAGTCAGTAGTATGTACTACTGCCAAGCAAGGTAAGGAGTAGTAAAAACACGGAGTTCGTATAGAAGTAATACACTACTCATAAGACTGCAGACGAATGCAAATGGATTGCATAGTCTGTGCACCGGATAGACGGTTGAACACAGCATAGATGAGGCACAGGAAAGTTAGATTTATATGGCTAATCGAGGTGAAATAGAACGTAGCCTGGATACCGTCAGGATACCGTTCGAATTCGGTGACCTTCGACGTTTAGTTGCCAGGTTTTGTATTCGTCTTAAACTGTACTTGTGTTTTGTTTTAAATAGAAATAAATAATACTGACTTTTTGGAACAGAACACTGTACACATCAATCCCCTGCCTACATATTAAGCGCGATCATTATGACTGGGTTGCCTCATTCCAAAAGTCCTTGCCACTCTGTGTGTGAGATTTGTGATGAGGAAAGCGAAAAGACCTGAAAGCACTGCTCATTTACGCAAATCTAGTGAGTACGGCTCATGATAGACTGCAGAAGTGAACAAATATGAGGAGCTGCGCCACTGTGGGGTCCGATTTCCAGAGAAACTGACAGACTGAAGTTTGAGAAGCAAAATATGTTCAAAATCTGCAAATTTCCAAGTGCTACAGACTTAAGTGAAACTCGCAGTTGAAACAGTTTGTAGAATCTCAAAAAAAGCAAGCTCGATCGACATTTCTACATTATTAGCTATATGGAACTCACATTTGGTTACAAGCTATCAGTGCCCACTGATAGAATAATTCGGTCTACACTCGGTACTTTGAATGAAGTGGATGAAACCTCTGGGTTCTTCAAAGAATTGATGAGGAACGCTGAAACTTATCTCAATGTCTTGAAGCACGAGTCAACTTTGATCAGTACATTCGGTTGAAATAACTGTGGCTGGATCTACTCATTTGCAAGTGAGTAGTTATCGCCACATTCAAGTGTGTTCCGTTGTTACAGTCTACGGAGATGAACATTATCGAAACCGGCCCCCAAGTCTCAGGACATTGGGCGGTTTCGATCCTTGGGGTCAGGAATTAGGTTTTGCGTTGATGCTCTAGTTCCTAGCGAGGTGACCCTTTGTGGCAATTTCGATTTGTCATCTTGGTGGAGTTCCAGATCTGAGGAAAGTCAAGGATTTCCCATCGATGGAAATTTTCTCCATCATGGACAGGTTTCCTGGGAGAACGTGTAGTGTTTCACGCAGGTCTGAATCCATCGTACTGGATGATGATGAAATCTCGACTATTTGCTCACACTTGAGCATTACTGATCGCGAAAATTCGTACTCTAACCAAACGACCACCCACTGACACTGATGGACCCGTTCTTGAAAACCCTGTGTTTCCAAGGCCTCGGACAGTTGGATTTCACATGGGTTCCCATGGGTTCCAAAGAACTGGACAGAACATTCTGTTGGACTTTTGAAATCAGAAGCTAACCGAATTGGATTGGAAGCCAGTCTACGTGGGACAGTACTTTTTGGACGGCACTCCAGAATCTGATGTGTACTGCTTCTGGAGTCCATTGCACTTCACACTTGCACTCAGGAAACACTCTGCTAATAAGCGAATTAACTTTGAGGTGGGGGTACTTTCACTGCAATAATTGGTTGCTTAAAGTACATTTTATTTTGTCTGTCGGTTGACTGAAAAGACGCGATAATCCATTTTAGTTCAATTTTATGCGGGCATTTTGTGAACCGAAAGTTATTCATTCCATACGTTTGGGTCTACACCCACGTCAAACGAATTACGTGACATGATGTTGAAAGATACTGTATATCACACATTTTTTCTGTAAGACGTATACCACTTTCTTGAAGCTTGCAAAGTTATCCGTCAAGAGTCAAATTGGTTTGATGAATGACATCATTTCATCTATGGGGTCACTCGGCGATCCGTCTACTTTCTCATCAGACCTGAATGATGCATCATTAGCAATTTGGTTGACCTGACTGGGAGAATTGAATGCTTGATGTAGTGAAGGGGCATTCCACCAGAAGACAGATGATTGTTGCACGGCAATACACTAAAGCAGTTTGAATCTCAAAGTTGAACGAGTAACACTGGATTTGTCACTGTTTCCCACACAGAAAGGACACTTTTCGAGGCCTTAGTAGTCCTCGTTCAAGTTTAGCTTGCAAAAAGAAGTCAATCCCTCTTCACGGACCACATTATGAGGGTGTCGACCGCTGTACGCGTTTATCACTTAGCTCTGCTACGTGTATTTTAAGCAACTGCTTGATTGATGAATGCATAGAGCAGCGTTGGAAACGAACCAGGTACAAATGAGATTTTGCGTCAGCATTCTTGAGGCCACGTTTGCCCATGAAGAAATGGAAAGAGACAGAGTGGCTTATCTGTAAAGTAAGTTGTACTCTTGAACATCAGTGACATAAACATAGGTTTCGTATCCCACAGGGGCAGCTTATTTTATTTGTTTGTTTCTTTAAATTCTCTCATTAAAACAGCCTAGACTCCAATTTGATGAGATCTCACGTTGTTTGTGCTTACATACGTGAACAAAGGTCCACAACACTGGGTCTTTCAGTTACATGAACAAGACTGACGAGACATTCCACTGTCGCGGATTTTGGCACCACTTGTTTACCTCGTGCGTGGTTCTCCTCTCCACTTGTTCAGCCCGACTGCGAACTCACATGACACCATGCCAGTTTGGTCTTTCCTATTGGTTGATTTTGCTCGGTGTGAACACTTTGTCGAACACTCAGTGTCAGCTGACTTGTATTCGGGTCATGAGAATATTGGTGGATAGGTTAGCGTGACCTAGAAAGAGTTTTGCTCTACACGAAATCATCCACATTACTTGTACCATGATCAAGAAGCGTTCATACACAAATCGGAACCAGAGAGTTTGTAAGTGTCCTACGGAATAACGCTGTTTGATTTCTGGTTCCCGGCTTTGTTCGGTCAATAGCATCGAATGTAAGACCTGTGTTAGTTGAAAAAAACTGGGCAGAAAACATAATTGCAAAGACCAGACAGAATAATCTGAGGCAAATAGAAATGTTTCTTATTAGCAATTATTATATGGAATTTTCGTGATGAAAATGCACGCCTTGTTGACCATACTCTGCTGCAGATAATGCGGTGAGGGGCGGTGAAAGTAACTCAATCACGTGCAAAGGTCAAATTAACAACGACTTACTGGAAGATGGATAACCGGCAGCTCGCTTAGCCACCGTATCCATACCCTTCGGGTTTGGATAACGCCCTTCTATTTGCTCTTCAGCTGTGGGGTTCGGTCCCATGGTACTAGGCTGATCGGTAATCGATGAACCACCGGCTGATCCTATAGACGTCCGCCGCTGTTCTGTTGCGCATAACCTATCCACTTTAAAGTTGGACGTAGTGCTGGCCAGCCTGCTTTCCAGATCACAGGTTGCTCCGGTACTTGGGATGTCACTACTGTTTGGGAATGAGCGCCGTTTAATGGCAAGGATGTTGTCCGATAAATTTTCTGGATGGGTTTCAACAATTTCCATTGGAAATACCCGTACTCTGCGGTAGTTCAATCCACAATCGATGGGACGCAAATGTTCATCACCAGGATGTATGCAGTAAAAGCGCTCAACGGATTGTACACTATCCGGCTGCTTAACAGGGGAACAAGTTAGTCTTAAAGCCCCAAGGGACCGTTATTCCAAAGCCCTAGCGACACGCAGTCAGTGGATTTAGAAGTCATCGGCAGTGATTGGTGGAGTCAAATTAAGCTTAACTGCTGATTGGTTAGCTTAAGGGTCGGAATATGTGCTTGAGTCGTATTGGCCAATCGTATGCGTCCTAGGTGCGACTTCGCCGACGAGAGGGACAAAGTTGCGCTTTTCATCGGTACGCTAGCGTGTTTAGGCATGTCCCATAACCTGGTGGGATGCAAACTGTTTGTGTGCGTATGAATGAATGTCTTGTGCGACGCCTGTCAAACTCGTCACACTTTCAGCACGCAGTGACATTTTATCATGCCAGTATCAGCAGAGTGTGGTGAAGTCCGTCTGAAGCAAAAGCACACACACACATGTGGTGTTAAAATATAGGCGGCTACGTACAACAACTGGTTATTTGCTTCTGGTCGATGAATGAACCTAGGTGCGCACACCTCTCAAACACCTGTAATCTCAACCGGACGAACCAGTCAATTAGCCCCTTGTCTAGCAACGTTTGCGATATGCAGTGGGAAACAATTTCTTGCCCGAAAGATTCTACTTTATCCACCTAGATCTTACATGTTAATATAAACAAACAGAAATAGCAAAAGAATAAGTACAGAGTGATGTAACTCATTCATCGAAGTGGAGGTTGCCGGATTGACAAAAGTGCGGTTAAAAATTCAGACTGAATCGTCGTAGGTAAACGCGAATGGTCGGTTGACATACCCACAAATTTTTTTGGGTACAGCTGGATAGTCAAAATACTAGTGAGACTCAACATCTCCTGATTGCCGGGATTTCGACATAATCGGCGGTCAGAGAATGTCGGTCTTTGCCATCAGAAGTAATTGACTGGATTTCAAAGGTTTCGTGGTAGTCCGGTCCGTTGCGCTCTTCTGGAAGGCTGTTTGCCACTAAAACACTCTGAAGGCAGCATGCGCAGTGTTTTTTTCGAATGGTTATTACATTCTGAAACTCCTCCGTCCAGACAATGACACCTGCATGATAATCAAGTTTCTTTGAAGTCGCTTCACAAAGAAACGACGTTTTGGATGGGCTTTGCTTCGGGTATCTCCTACTTTGCGTTAGTGTACAACAGTTATTCTGAATAGGAGAAGTCATCTAGAGCAGTTATGTTTGACTATCCAAAGTTTCTCAACTTACGCGCATTTGCAAGTCATTAAAGTCTTATTGAAGTTCCAATTTATCATTTGTAATACTCTGGATGAGTTGCACGTATCAGTTGGTAGGGTATTCGAGGTGTTGCTAGGTAAATTCTTGAATGGAAACTACTTACAAGGTTGCTGGTTACTTTTCATAAAGGAAACTACTCACAAGGTTGCTGAAAACTCTCCGACAGCCCACGAACGGTTTCGCC